ATTTACATTTAAATACAAATAATAAATATTATTTCAAATATAATTACAAATACTGTAAGAGCATTCGAGTACAGTATTTTAAATACTTTTACTCAAATACCTTACAAATATTTCAAGAACTTGATAAACGTTCATTGTTTATTATATTATTTTGTGTTTACAAAACTTGCATCTTACTCTTTGTTGGACGCAATTTCAATATTATGTAACTAATTTGTTGTACGTATGAAGATTGCTTATACATTTGTCAAAACAATCCTTCAATCTAATTTTTGTAGAAGTTAAGATTATTTAAGTTTTTGAAATCATTAGCAAAATTATTATACGTTTAAACGTAAGTATATGTGTATTATCTATATCGTGCAGCAAACATTAATAAGATTGATTCCCAATAAAATTCCTGCTATTTATCCGTTATCAGTGTAGTGGATTTTGGATAGATACTTTGTTATGAAAACAACCAAGAGTAATGTGACGCTTCATTATTTTTTTTTTTATAATATGAAATGGTATTTGCCCTCGTTTTATAATATGTTCATTTTAGGAATACGTTTATTAATATCCTAGGTATGGTTTGATGTAATATTTTTATTTTTTTTGCGTTTCAAGCGAATATTGAATAAACGTATTATCGGAACACATTTTGGCTGATTCGGTAGTTACAAAATTGATTTCAAGAAAGTTTTTGACTTTCGAAGTCATGATGCTATGATTTTTTTAATGGAAAACAGTTTAATGGGGCTTTTATTATCTGCCTATCCCTTATAGGTGTATTGTCGTGTTTAACTTAAATATACTGTTTTATTAAAATATGGAATTATTATGTACTCAAGACACTCAAGTGAAGCTTACCGCTACCCACTACTATTTATAGTATTCTCAGAAGTGTATACCAAAGTAGCTGCCGTAATTATGTTGGAATAATGTTTTGTTTAGCACTCGTTAATGTTGTCTTTGTTTTTCTATTGCAAGGTTGCGTTTGTATAATAGCTGTTAACTGTTTGTATATTACTTAAGTATTAAACGGAAATTTTCTATATTTTAAACGACCAATGAAAAGACGAACAGGTAATTGGTTTTATATTGAGCGCGTTCTTTTCTATTTATATTTTTTTTAGAAAAAGGTTTACATTATTATCAGTATTTCATGAAGACTTGATTTTACCTCGGAAAAAAACTTTATTACTTCCTGATATTTTAAAAAGCGCACCTTCATAATGTACATCATATGTCTCATTAAAAATAGAAAAAATATAAAAGGTGCCGTGTTTTGTATGGGTGAATAACATGGAATTGGTACTTTTTATGGCTCGATTTATAGTTTCCAGTATTATATATGAAATTTTTCACGAAAACTATTTTCAGATCATTTTATATCCCTACTTATTGTCCAAACAAGACACGTCAGAATGAGTCTTACTCGCACAAAAATTTCCATTTGATCACCTATACCGGAAGGAAAAATTTCCGTAACTTTGTAACAGCTTATTTCACAGTTTAAAGCTGGTTTTTACGTTTTTCATCAGTCAGTTGTGAGCATAGAACGAGCAAGCAAATTTTTAAAACAGTAAAGATATTTAAATTAAATAGTGAAAGTATTTAGCTATGAACCAAATTCCGTTTATAAAATTCAATAACGGGCAACTGTATCCACTGTTTGGATTGGGTACCTGGAAGGCATGTTATTTTCCCTTTTTTTCATTTTGGCAATGAGGATACTTTACAATTATTTTTTTAATTTATCTGAAAACATTTTTTTTCAATTTTTCGTATTTTCTGTTTTTCTAATTAGTCTAAACCTGGCGAGGTTACTGAAGCAGTTAAACATGCAATTGACGTTGGATACAGGCAAATTGATTGCGCTCACGTTTATGAAAATGAAAAAGAAGTTGGTGCTGGCATTGCAGTAAAAATTGCAGAAGGAAAGGTAAAAAGGGAAGATCTGTATGTTACCAGTAAATTATGGAACACTTATCATCGTCCAGATCTCGTTGAAGGTGCTCTGAAGCAAACTTTAAATGATTTGGGTTTGACGTACCTGGATTTGTACCTTATTCATTGGCCTTTTGCTTTTAAAGTAAGAATTTTTGTATTTATTATTATATATTAAAATTAGAAGTAATACATGATGAATAATTGATCCGGTAACGCTAAAAACTTTCCGAGAAACAGTTCTAACACTTTGTAATATATATTAAACATTTTTGCACGTATGTGTATTGTATGTTCTAAGCATTGATTATAAGTTATTTAAACATTACTAATTATCATCTTTAGGAAGAGAATGGTTTATTCCCCACCGATTCTGATGGTAATTTGATTTATAGCGATGTAGACTATGTTGATACATGGAAGGCACTGGAAAAGGTGTGCCAAAAAGGTCTCACTAAAGCCATTGGTATTTCGAATTTCAACAAAAGGCAAATTGAACGAATATTGAAAAATGCCACTATAACGCCTGTAACTAATCAGGTACATTTTTATTTTAGTGTATCAAAGGTGTAGACACTTATAAAACTTTGAAATGTATGAGTTAGATTTTTTCAATTTACATATATGCCAAACGAATTCGTTGCGGCAATCATTCGTAAAGTAATTAATGAATAAATTGTTTTGTTTAATTTTTAGATTGAGTGTCATCCCTATCTGTCTCAGAAGAAGTTATCTGTCTACTGCAAATCAAAAGGTATTGCCATAACGGCATACAGTCCGTTAGGATCTCCTGACAGACCGTGGGCTAAACCGGACGATCCTAAATTGTTGGATGAACCAAAACTTAAAAAGATAGCTGAAAAATACGGCAAAAGTCCTGCTCAGATAGTGTTACGATATCAAGTTCAACAGGGGCATATTACTATTCCTAAATCTGTGACCAAACGAAGGATCGAAGAGAATATTAAAATCTTTGATTTTGTTTTAACCCCCGAGGACATGGGATACATTGATACGTTTGATTGCAATGGAAGAATTTGTCCGTATGATGAGTACGTTTTCCATATTTTTTATTCATTTTTTATATAAGATGAAATTAAATAATTACAATATCAAACTAATAAAAGTTCCTGATGCCTCGCTACAACAGTCGTTGCGTAATCGTTTAAAAGGAACATACAACGGCGAAATGTTTAGTTTCAAATCTAATATTAGTAAATACTACTTCCGAATTGCAATATATGTAAAATATACGTATATACCTAGAAATTTTAAAAATCGTACGATTAGACTTCATTAGGTAAAATTATTATTAAATAGTACACCATATAAAATGTTGGATTTCCAAATATTATTTGTAGAGGATTTAAAAATGTAACGCAACATATTTGAAATAGTGAATATTAATGTTCACTTATTTATTAAATACACCAGTTTATGTTGTTTGTTTATCAATTTATAGAACGTGATAGTAATACATTCGAGATTTGATGTTTGTTGATATACATATGTATATTGTTAATATTTCAATACGTAATTGTAAGATTAAATTTATCTTGTACATTTTCTTTCTTTCAGAGCAAAAACGCACAAGGACCATCCGTTTGTAAACGATGAGTATTAAGTAATTTGTAAAACTATAATTTATTGGATTTTATTTAAAGGGCTTAATTGATTATTTCATTTAAAAAATGGTCTGTAATGTAAATTGTTGTGTAATTTAAATTAAATGTGAAAGCGAATTGGTATTTAAATATAGTACAATAGATTATGAAATTGCAAAAGCATAAACGACCGTCGTTACTTAAACAAGGCTCTTTATTCGGTCCATCAGTGAGTTCATCGATGTAGTTGTTTTCACCAGATTTTGCGGTTGGCATCTTCAGAGAATGTAAAGAGTACTTAATGCAGTACAACCGTAGCGATGAATTTTACATCCTGAAGATGTCAACCGCAGCAGCAGGTGAAACATCTAATTAAACGACTTCATTAATGGGCTCACCGAATGGGGAGAACCAATCCTGGATCATCGTTATCCATTCCAAATCTAAATATCCCACAAGAATGTTTCAACAATAAAAATATGATAGGTCGAAACAATTGTCGAGTTGTTTTAGTATATTTTTATTGTTGAAACTTTCTTGTGTTTTATTAAAATATAAGTATATTATTCTTCTTAGGGAATTTATAAAAAAAGGAATACATGTGTTTATAATAAGATAATTAAAAATTGACCTTCAGAATATCGTGACGTCTGACTATATAAATATATTATTGGCCTTTATGTATATCATTCCACACTTCTTCAAAATTTGTATTCCACTAAAAGAGCAAGACATTCTCTGCATTATTGGAAATGCCACCTAGGGTTCCGTTTGTCACTTTTAATAATGGTCAAAAATTTCCAGTTTTTGGTCTTGGAACGTGGAAGGTAAGCTTACTTTTTTTTTTGAATAATTGGTAGGTCTTAAACTCAAAACAAACTTAACAAATCAATACACTCCAATGACGGTCGCTAATGTTTCTTTTTGCTTTAATAAAGACAATGTGTATGCTAGTAATATCAAAAGGGTAAGTTAAATAACAACAATAATAAATATAATTATAAAGAACTAAACATTAGTTAATAAATCGTAATTATTTTTCTATGAATTTAAGAAATGCACGTATTTTATTATTGTTACTATTATATAACATTTCTTAGTGCGTTCTTATTTAGTTTAGGATTAAACAA